GCCATAAATGCCACACATTATTACATGAAGAAATAGAAGAACAAGGAGAAACAGATAACAAACAAGAATCTGATGAAGATCTCTTAGTCTCGAATTCCAAAGCAAACAGCCTCCCAAGCCTACGGCCCTTCCCTTTCAGCTCCCCAGTGTGCTGGTCCTAAATGAAACAACCATCATGAGTAAATAAAACATTATTACCATCATTAACAAGTTGTCCTACAGATATTAAACTAGTAGTCAATTTAGGGACAAAAAAGTTTTGGGAAGATGAAAGGGTTTGGTCTGAGAAGTGGATAAGAGCAAATCATTACAACCATATACAAGTAAAGAATCACCATTGGCAGTAATAATATGGTTGTCAAAGGGTCTAGGTTTAGGAGACTGACCAAAGGAGGCCCCAGTCATGTGATTTGAGGCCCCTGAATCAATAATCCACATGCGACACGGGGGTGAACACAAAAAAGCAGACTTACCAGCCAGACTAAAAGCAGAAAAAGCAAAAGAAATAGCTGAAGACATAAGCTCACGGATCCTTTCTTTGGTCAGATTTCCTTGGGCATCTGACTTGTGGGCTGATGATGAGGTGGCAGCATCAGTGGTAGCAGATTCGGTTGAGGCCTGATAAGCCTTATGCTGTCCCTTCTTAGGAGGCCTAGTCGGACATTCCACAATGATATGTCCTTGCTGTTTGCAGTAAGTACAAAACTTCTTGCAATGGGACGCCACGTGACCAAATTCCTTACATTCATAACACTACAACTTCGAGAAGTCTTTTTTACCCTTCTGCTTGGTGGCTATGAACATAGTATCAATGCCTAGTCGGACATTCCACAATGATATGTCCTTGCTGTTTGCAGTAAGTACCAAACTTCTTGTAGTGGGACGCCACGTGACCAAATTCCTTACATTCATAACACTGCAACTTCGAGAAGTCTTTTTTACCCTTCTGCTTGGTGGCTAAGAACACAGTATCAATGCCATGTTCCTTCTTCTGATCAAGTGCAGATAAAGTAAGAAGACGTGTTTCCTCCCGTAACAACTCTCCAAGAATTGCATCTAGTTCAGGGACTGGTTCTCTACTGAGAATGTTGGAGCGTAGAGTTTCATAGTCAGGCCTGAGATGCATCAAGAAATGCATGGTCTTCCTCTTAGTAAGATGTTTCTTCATGGTCTTCACACAACAATCTGTAGAAAGATCCCCAAAGTGAGCCAGTTCATATTCAGTCCAAAGGTTTATAAATCTTGCATAGTATTCCTGAATCCTCTTCTCCCCTTGAACATAGGAGAAGATATCGATTTCGATCTGATATTGCCTAGACATGTTCGATTGCTGATATACCTTTTCTAGGTATTCGAACATGTCATGGGCAGATTTGAGACCTCTCATTGGGATATTGACATCCATTGAGATAGACCCAAGTATCCATGATGTAACCTGAGCATTTTCGGTTCTCCACTGTTTCAGCCCTTTGAAATTTCCCATGTGTCAGGCATGGGAGTGGAACCGTCAATGTAACCCCACATGCCTTTCCCTTCAACAAAGTACTGAAAATGAAATTTCCAGAGAGCATAGTTGCTCTCGTCAAACTTGACGGAAATGAATTCACTCTTTTCCAAAGCCATAAGTCACCAGAAATTGTCCAAGATTCAGCAAAAGACGAAAAACTTGAAACACAGTCCAGAAAAGGAAAGTTTGGGTGCAGCCACCCAGAGGAAATGTATAGATCTCTCTCAGATCTTCTCAGATCTCGATGATATTTTCAGAGTATGATGAGAGGGCCTAGGCGACACTTCCTTTCAAATCTCACTGCAAATTGAAGTCGTATGAGAGAGATCTAATAAAATCTCTCTCCTAGGGTGTGCAAAACAGAGAAAACTGATATCTGGATAGATCAAAACCATCCAGATTCAATCAGAAGTAACAACAGATGTCACACTGATCAAAGAGAGGAGAAAAGGATCAGAGATTAGCTTGCTCTGATACCATGTCAGCTCGAGAAAGAGAGAGAGAGAAGAGAGAAAGACAAAAGTCCAGATCTGTTAGGGTTGATCAGTCAGATCGAACCAACCCAGAAAAGATGTATTTATATTAAACTTATGTGAATAGACAATACTGTCCTTACAAAGAGAATAAAAAGGGTCTGTACACTAAAGTACACGCCTATTATAGTACAAGAAAGAATAAATAAAGTACAGAATAGTAGAATTACAAAACTACCCTTCAGTAGTTCTTCTACAGAGCAGAGGTGGTAAGAGGAGAAGATGGTGGAAATGTTGGCCATATGTTTTGAGACTCCTGAGTCTATAATCTAGGGAGGTCCCCCCTTACCTGTAGTGGGTATATAATTTGTAGTGGCATGTGAACTACCTGTATGTGCAAACAAAGTAAAATGGCTACCTCCTAATCCATCTGCACCTTCCTGTCCACCTAATAATGAGCTAGAATTGGCTATAACCCTCTGGTTCAGAAACTGCCCATATCTTTCCAATTTGGCCCTCACTGCAGCTGTTGTAACAAACTCTAGAGAAGCTATAGTAGGTGGTCCTAATAAATCACTAGTCACTGCCATAGTTGTCAAGGCGACGCCTTGGCGACAAGGCACCCTTGGAGGCTCGCCTCGCCCAGTCGCCAATTAGTTTTGTGCACTGGGTTATAAAATACTTTTATATTTTTAATTGTTTTGACATTATAATTATAAAATAGACATTATTAAACTGGAATATTCATTTTGTGTTTATATACTAGTTTCTTTTTATTATTTTCTTATTTTGTTAGGGTTTAATCAACGCAAACATTGCTAACTGCTGTATTGAACATGTGGTTCAAAGTATCGATTCACCTCTGTGTATTGGCAGAGGTGTATCGGTACTTATAACGATACTCCCCCTATTTTTTTATTTCTTTGGTTTTCAATTTCATTTTAAATATATATATATCTATATATATATATATATATAATTTCAAAAATGGGTCCTCAAAAACACCTCTAAACAGTGTAGAAATAGTTAGTAGCCACGAGTGAGGTTCCATACCCACACTTAGGCTCTAGTGTGTGTGGTTCATTTTTGCAACAGGTGCAAACGTTTCCGTATAGTCTATGCCATAAGTTTGTGTGAATCCCTTTGCAACCAATCTGGCCTTATACCTCTCTACAACCCCATTAGCATTATATTTCATAGTAAACATCCATCTGCATCCAACAGGTTTCTTCCCTTCAGGCTGGTTAATTAGTTCCCATGTGTTGTTCTTAACAAGAGCATCCATCTCTACTTGCATTGCTTGCTTCCATTCAGTTATCAAAAGAGCTTCTTGCACTTTTTTGAGTATAGGAATAGTAGCAATAGATGCCAGGTAAGATCTATAGGATTCTGAGAGACAATCATAGGAAAGGAACTTATAGATGCAGTGGGCAGTAGATGAGGTGCAATGTTGCTTCCCTTTACGAATTGCAATTGGAAGATCAAGGTCATCTGACAATGAGGGCTGAGCATCTGTAATAGTGGGATCAACTGTGGGAGCAATAGTAGTGTCTAGATCTGGGGCTGTAGAAGATGTTGGAATTGACTTGGATTGCTGTTGAGTACGAGAATCAACCTGCTTCCACCACCTTCTATGATACACTCTCAACTCTCTGCATTTTTGACAACCCTCACCCTCTTCACAATTCTCCCCATCAGTAACTAGGATAGGTAAAGGAACTTTTGGGGTTGGAACTGAAATCCCTTCCTCACTACTCTCCCCCTGAGGAGAAGCCCTATTAATAGCAGGGCTATCCTAAAACAAAGTGACATCAATGGACACAAAACGCTTCCCTGAAACAAGCTCATAACAGCAATATCCCTTTTGATTTTGTGCATACCCAAGGAAAATACATTTAGTAGCTTTGGGATCAAACTTGGAGCGATGAGGTCCAAGGATTTGAACAAAATAAGTACACCCAAAAGTTTTGAGGGGAATAGTGAATAGGTCCTTATCTGGATATAGAAAACTGAATGGAGTTTGCATGTTTAGAACCCGTGAAGGAACCTTGTTAATAAGGTACACAGCTGTATGGATTGCATCCCCCTAGAAGCATATGGGAACGTTAGAGTTGATCATGATGCTTCTGGCTACCTCTAAGATATGTCTGTTTTTTCTCTCAGCAACCCCATTTTGTTGAGGTGTACGAGGATAGGTGCTCTGATGAATGACCCCATGATCAAGGAGATAGGATGCCAAGGGTTTTGCAAAGTATTCATTGGCATTATCGGATCTAAGAGTTTTGATATTGGTTTCAAACTAGGTTAGAACCATCTGATGGAAAGCCTAAGTCAGAGAAGGGACCTCATCTTGAGAGTGCATAAGGTAAACCCATGAGAAACGGGTATAATCATTAACAAATAATAAGAAATATTTGTACCCCCCCATGGTGGGAGTATGATATGGCCCCCAAATATCGGTATGCACAATTTCAAAAGGAAGGTTGCTTCTTTTATTACTCGAAAGATAAGATGATCTACTGTGTTTTGCGAGCTCACAACTTTCACACTTCAAACTAGACACTTCTACTGACTCAAATAAGTTTGGAAAAAGACTCTTCAAAGACCCAAAAGATAAATGACCTAAGCGGTTATGCCAAAGCATAATCTTACTCCAAGACTGAGAGACAAACAATTTCCCCACTTCACTTTCCTTCCCTTGTGAATGTTCAAGTAGGTAGACTCCATTCATCTCACAACCAATCCCAATCACCTTCTTCGTTTCCAGATCCTGAAAAACACACCGATCAGGGAAAAAAGTTACTGAATAGTTTTGATTTTTAGTAATACTACTAACTGAAAGCAAGTTAGCACTAAGCTTGGGAACATGCAAAACTGAGGATAGGGTGATAGCATCAGACAATCTGATGTCTCCCTTGCCAGAAATTGGCACAAGGGAGCCATCAGCAATAGAAACTTTGTCTCTCCCAGAGGACATATTCCAACAGACTAAGATTGGTGACTTTTCTTTCCTCTAACAGTTTCAGGGCTAAGGGTAACATATTCCAACAGATTAAGATGTACTGCACATGGTGGAGGTGCTCTTGGTGCTAGGATGAACCTTTTTGATCGGTTTGCTAGAGTCATCAAGGTAAGATATATGTAAAATGCTCTTTGCAATCATTTTATGATTTTCTTATACTATAATCATGGCTTCAGCTTCCTCTTCACTCTGCATTGCTAATATTATGTTTTATTTTTTTATTGTGAAAAAAATTTAGTCATATGCAAATGCAATCATAAGCTCCTTTGAAGATCCAGAGAAGATATTGGAACAAACTGTGCTTGAAATGAATGATGATTTGACAAAAATGCGTCAAGCCACAGCACAGGTATGTCTTATGCTTGTACTTTGAGTCATTTCTTCTTGTAACAAGAAAATTGTGTTTGAAAAATCTTTTATACCCAGACATGTCAAAGACAAGGCTAGACAGGGTGGTGGAACCCATCTATAGGCATCTGGTATCATAGGTGAATTCTATGCATGTAGAAGGGGATAAGACATTCTCCCTATACAAAATTACAAGATTCCCAAATTTATGATTTCAAAAGGACCCTACGGATAAAATACATAGTCAAATCTTGGAAACAGCCTTTCTGTATATGCAGGGGTAAGGCTGTGTACATCTGTCCCTGTCCCTCCCCAGACCCTGCATTGGCGGGAACCTCGTGCACTTCACTGCCCTTTTTATCCCTGCAGAATATGGTGGGCTGAATCTGTGAAGTCTTTCAGAATGTGGTAGCAGTTCATTAGGATGGAAACAATGGTTGCCTGAATTGTTGGCTTAGACAGGATTCTTCCCTCCAAACACCTACTAAGTAGCAGAAGGAAAGGAATGCTATTCAAGAGGATCTATCTCTGTCATCTATAAAGAAAATCAGGCTAACAACTAAGAAGGACAAGAATAAATTTCAGGCCTTTGTAGTCAATGGAAAATTTAGCATACACTCCATATTCTGGTCTTCTTTCTTGGACATCATACATCTGTGCACAAAATGAGAAGTAGATGCCTAGGTGACCAGGACTGATAAAAAATGCTAGGCAAACAGTGAGTGCCTAGATGCCTAGGTGCCTAAGTGATAAGATATGCAAGTAAAAATCCCCAAAAATCCTAAGTTGATTTCTTATTTTTTGTTTAATAATCATCTACACTAACAACAATAATATTCATCAAGTAATCATACATTTCATATCAAAACATAGAAAATTATCATATTCATGAGAAGTAGATATTTGAATGTTAATTTTAATATATCAAACATAATATGCAATATAATAATAATTCAATAAAGCAACTATATTAAAAATATAAACTATAGGCCACTACCCATTGTTGGTCCCACCTATTTGGAGTCTTTGAAGGGGTGGACCGGATAAAGACCTAACTTTTGGCTCACAAAATGGCTGCTCTCAGACTCAAATCCATGTTCTCATGCTTGTCAGCTTGGGATTTTACCATTTCATCAAGTAATGAGCCCCTTAAAAAATAAACTTATGAATTTTATAATTACTTACATACCATAAAGCCCCTAGGATAAGATTTTACAGAATTTTTCTTCAAACATTCCCAAGCACATAGTTTTAGGGCCAGTTTGGCAAGTCTTTTTGAGAAGATTTTCTCGTAGCTCTGTCAGTCAATAGACGCATTGAGCTTTTGACATAAGATCTGGGCAGCCCCAAGACCGTTTGGCAGACGCACATCTTTCTGTGCGCCGTTTCGGGTCTTTCTGCACGAGATTAAAACGCGGAAGACACAGGAAGCTTCATTTGGAGCTTCCCGAAATCAGCCCAAAATGGGCTTCCTGCGTCTTTTCGACGCCCCGTCTTTTGGCGGCGAGATCTTCTGCGTGCCAAACGGGAATAGACCGATTTTCGGTGTTCCCAGCTTGTAAGCAGCCGAAAGACTGCACGGAAAGACGTGCCAAACAGGGCCTTAACTAAAAGGCATCAATAACCATAAGCCAATGAAATATTTGATTCAACCATTAACAAAAAGTTCCTGTGATACATTTTTGCATAACTTTTCTTCAATTAAAACATTCACATAATCTGTATATATGATCTTAATCTAGATTTTAGGGTGCAAAAATTCCCAAAAAAGAAAAGATGCATTCAGCTATAAAAAGAAATAGATGCAGAAACTTGTTCAAAGCTGTTAATAGTTATTCACTTTATCATGTTTATTGTAATAGAAAATGAGTCAAGCAATTAAAATATGTTAAGCATGTTGTAACATGCACATCTAGCATCTTTAGATGCCTAGGTGTGGCCTCGTCTCCTAATCATGTACCTTATGGGCTGAGTGAGTGAGCGAGTGCCTTTTTGTAACTTCCAGTTAAAGCAATATAGAAGGAACTATTCTAAAAAGGTTCATTGGTATCCCCCATACCCAGGGTCTGAGTTGTCAACAACTCTGTTCCTTCTCTTTCCTTCATTTCTTTTTTTTTCCACTGCTTCTCATTTTTATAATTTGCCTTGTTTTCTTGTTTCCTCTTTTTCTTGATATATAACAAATTTAATAAAGAAATTTGCAAATGTATTGTGTGGAGGAAAATGGAGGGAACACAAGGACGACCTAAATTTGCCACAAAACAGTGGAAAGTCCATTCTATAGGCTGCATTAGTGCTTAGTTTATTCCTTCACCATTCTTCTTTTTATACCTTCATGATTATGCATACCTTTTTTTGTGAAGGTATTGGCATCTCAGAAGCAGTTGGAAAACAAATACAAAGCTGCACAAAAAGCTTCTGAAGATTGGTAATATTTGACATTAATGTATCATTTCAATATCTTATAAGTGTTAATTTATGCTAAACGTTACATTTAAGTGTTGTTTGGATGTAGGTATCGTAGGGCACAACTTGCTCTGGAGAAAGGAGATGAAGATCTTGCTCGAGAAGCTCTGAAAAGGCGTAAATCTTATGCTGTGGGTACTTCATTGTAAATAGTACGGTTGCTAGTTAACTGTGTTTTAGTTAAATCTGCCATGAGGATTTTGAATTAATTTGTTGATTTTATTCTAGTGAAACATTAGTATGATACATCATTCCATATCTTTTCCCTTTTCATTTCTGATAGATCTTGGGGATAAAATTTTGCATATTTAATGAGAGTGTAAACACACTCCGAAGCTTGGGTCTTGAGAGTAACATGATCTGGAGGTATATTTAAATGAGCAGTTTATGTTTTGCTTTTTAATTTTTATCAATGACTGTAACTTTCATTAATTAAAGATGAGATAAATAGAATACAAATACCGTTGGAGATAAAACAACTTATCTCCAAGATAAAAAAACTTTACAATTGAGCCCAAAACATTTGATTTCTCCCAATCCCTTGTTTTGCCAAATAATCAGCAAAGCTATTAGCCATTCTTTGGACCAATTTAATTCTCACATCCATATCCCTAGTTAACCATTTAATATTCTTTAATTCATTTTGGTACATCGATAAGTCATTCCCTTTATTTTGTAGCCATTTGACCACCGGTTGAGAATCACCTTCTACAATTAGCTTGTGCACACCTAATTCCTTTGCTTTGACTACTCCTTCCACAACTACCATTACTTCAACCCTAAAAAAATCCTCAATGCCAACTGGACCCGAGAAGAGTGCCACCATATGACCTAGCCCCTTTTTTGAAGATGCTTGCTACACTTGAAGGGCATGGGTTCTCCCTACCATTACCATCAAAGTTTAATTTTGTGTATCCCTCAGCTGGTGGTGTCCATGACATATTGATTTTGAGTTTCACAAATGAAGAGCTAACCACTTCCAACCACGTTTGAAGGTCGTCCACCAAGAAATTCAAAAGCAACTCTCGAGATTTTAACCACTGAACAACTTTGATGGTTTTGCATTCTATCAAAATCTCCTTGCTCCTCTCTCTCAAGGAATATTCTTTAATTTCTTTCCTCCAAAAGATTTTAGGTTGCTATAGCTCCTATACTTCTCCACATGATTCTACCTCTCTTTCTTGGCCAGGCAATGAAGTGGAAGCATAGGGGCTTGAGATGTTCGAAGGAGGAGTCCACCTGCAACCAAACAAAGCAAGAAACCAATCCCAAATACTGGTAGCAAATGGATAGGAATTAGTAAGTAATATAAGATTCACCATTAGCCTTGCAAAAAAAAAAAAAAAAAACACCAATGAGGAGATAAGCAGGAGTGAGGTCTCCTTTTCTGTAGCAAGTCACAAGTGTTAATTTTCTCATGATAACCTCTCAATTGAAAGCTCCTATTCTAGGTGGAATTGGTTTAGCCCAAATCTCTTTCATTAGAAAGTGTTGACATGAGTAATCTCACGTGTGGGCCTGGGTTTGTTATTGTTTAGTTCTTTATATTATTCTCTTTTTTGTTGTCTTATTATTGGGATTTAGTTATTAGGCCCATTAGTGGTTTAAGTTATGAGTCAGCTCACTAATCAAAGGCTATATTGTAATTTTATGTATTTTTAAACATTATGATAATAAAAGTCTTTAGGGCTGGCTGGAGTAGGTGATTTTGCTGCTCCATTCTTTCCATTCCTCTCAGAGAGTACAAACACGACTATTAGAGTTCAGAGGATCTAAGAAAGTATCATCAAGGATATTTAGAAGGTTTAGCACCAAATGAAGTTTAAAATCTCTTACTCTGATAAAATCCAAGTCCCATCCAAAACCATTGCTTGAATTTGAAGGAACAATAAATTTTGAGACAAGTTCCCCTTTGTGAGAAGATAAAGCAAATAAAGAAGGAAATTAATCTTTCAAAGGGATTGAACCCACCCAAGTATGTCCCCAAAATTTAATTAGATTACCCATGAAAACATTATATTTGGTAAAAGGAAGAAATTGAGGGAGGATCTCACTTAGGGCTGTTAATGGGTCAGGTCTACCTGACAGACCCGAACCGACCAAACCGATTATAACGGTTCTGGTTCCATGATTTTGTCCTGATTAATAATAATTGGGCCAGTTCCGGTTCTTGCATGTCCCGAGCCAATTCAGACCTGGAACTGATTATTTTATTAAATATATATAATATTTTCTTATCATTCTTTTCATATTTTATGTTTGAAATGGTAAATAGATAACAAATAAGATAATGTTAGTTAAAAACGTTTAATTTATTAACGTGTAAATAATTTAGTATTTTTCTGTCATTTTTATTAAGGTTATATCATCAAAATTTAAATCTTGAGTAATTATTTAAATAAACAAATATAGTTTTCAGTATAATTGGGTCTATCACGTCTGGACCTGATAGACCTGACTATTAGCTGGGACAGTTCTGGGTCTGTGATTTTTTCTTGATTAATAATCAGTTCCGGACTGGTTCTTCCTAGACCCGACCCATTGACAGCCTTAAACTCACTGATAGCTTTCCACTTTCCAAGGAGATTTCCTTATTAGTTTAGTAGCGGCTCCAACATCCCAACCATTGTCCACTGGCTATGCTGAATACCACCTCATGCCACAATTTATCCCTTTCCAATGGCATTTTATCCCCAACCACACCCCAACTACCCTGTGATTTGCCTTTGCATACCACCTCCTATTTAACCAAGTGGTATTTTCTCGTTTATCCCAGTTCCAACAGAAAGTCACTCATTATCTTCTCAATCTTGCTCACCTTTTGAGGAATTTGAACATTGACAAGTAATAAATTGGGAGATCAGACAAGGAGGACTTGATCGAAGTTATTCTTCTCTCCAAAGAAGTATAGCCTCTCTTCCATACAGCCAGTCTCTTAGAAAACCTTTCTATCATTGAGTTCCAAAAGGAAAGATCTCTAGGGTTAACTCCAAGAGATCAACTAAAAGAAGTAAAGAAGATCTCACTCAAGCTTCTAAAGCTATTAAGTAATTCTGTTCTTCTGTATTGGTTGAGGGCTGAGGTGGTGTTCCTTTGGTGCTCAGTTGTTTCTTGGTGGTGTTTTGAGGCTGATAGATTTGTTGGGCTTTAGATGGGTTTTTTTTTCTTGTCTTTTCTGAATTTTTAGGGGTTGGGGTAGTGTTGTGTGACGAATTTGGTCGAATGGTCTAATTTGTAGCTTAGGGGTAATTTTTTTTGGTTGTAGTCTGCAAGTTTCTCTCTCTCTCTCTCGGGTGATTGCTTATCATCTTTCTTCTAATATCTGTTTATTTTTATCTTAAGAAAAGGAAAATGGAAAGGGTGCATATCCTTTTTTCCTGCATGTTTCTTTTGGAATATTTAGAAGGATAGGAATAATTAAACATTTAAGAATAAGGACCCTGTGGATTTGGTAGCCATCTAGTAAGATGAAGCTCTACTCTTTCACTGGACTTTGTTTTACACATGCTAGATGGGATCTCATACTTAGTGGAGGGAGGTTCTTCCTTTTTGTAAAGCTTCTGGAATTGTGATCTTTATCATTCTGACAGAAGATTACGTACTGGAACCTTTTGTTCACTTATATTAATGTTGTGTAATATAAGAAAGTAGTGACATTAGTTGAGATGCCTCTTTTGATGTAAGACAGATTAGTACTAAGACATAATACTTTCAACTGGTTTTGAATTGGAAGTTTTTCTGAACATAGACAGCATGATGGTGAGTGCTGATGCCCTGAAAGTAATTTCTTTACATCCTGGTTTGCTATGGAGTTAATTTTTGGTTGAACACAGTATTTGTTTCCTTAGATTAGTTGTCTTATAGTCAATGAATTCCATGAGGAGTGGGCTTGGTCTGGGGTCCAGGGGCGGAGCCCCTGGCCCAGCCATTAGGCATAAAAAAATAGAAAAAATGTGCAAATTTTCAAAAGGTTCATGTCTGAGCTGAAGCTCAAGGCACACCTGGTGTGTGCCTTTTGAAAGTTTTGCGCTTGGGGCCTAGGTGAGAGGCACATTTTGTAATTGTGGTCTCTTGAGATGTTAGAATCTGCGAGTTTACATGTTCTTTGAAACACAATTAAGGGGTGACATGGCAGGCATCTTCTTCTTAATGGAGGATCACATCTTATAAGAATTTATTACTTGGAAACATGGATTATTGAAAAAGAAAACAAAGATAACTGAAAAAAAAAAGAAAACAAAGATATTTGGTCCATATAATGTATTTTTTCTGTTTTTTATTAGTATTTTAATGATTCTAAATGCCTGCCTGCTTTTCCGTTTCTTTTTTTTATATTGTTTTTCAGGATAATGCAAATGCTTTGAAAGCTCAGCTTGATCAGCAGAAGAATGTTGTTGAGAACCTTGTCTCAAATACTCGGGTGAGTTATGATTCTTATTTCCTCCATACTTATATAATGGTTCTATAATGTTCTGCTTGCTGTATGGTAGTACTTATAGTCCATGAAATTGTTTTTTCTTTTTTGCTTCAATATTTTTCTTTTGTAGTTGCTTCTTTTGCTTTATCTCTTTTTGGATATTACAGCTAACAGAACACACAAAGGTTAACTACAGATTTTGCTTAGGCAATGCAGGCATTTTGCTGTTTGGTATGCAGTTTTCCTGGAAACTGTCATTTCACCTTCAAATGCATGCTATTTGTAATTTTTCTATAAAGGTTTCTGTGACTTGAAATTCGGTATAAGAAGAAATTTAGGGTTGTAAGAATAAGAGAAGAGAAGAATACAGAATAAGCATTTCAGATGCTAGATAGAACTTTACCAAACTTGAAAAACAGAAAATATAAGCTCTCAGCATTGTATATTCTTACCTGTGTATGTAGATAGAAAGAGAAGTGAACACCACAATTTGGGGGAAGGGAAAAACTAGACTAATGTGCAGTCCTCTTCTGCAATTGGATTGTCTGATGCTTTAGCTAAGCATGGGGTCAACAGAAATCATTTGTATTGGGTCCGCTTGTAACTGTTATGTTTTTTTATGTTGTAGGGTAGTAATTGCTACCCATCTAAGGGTTGTTTGTAATGCCTTGTAATCTTTCTTATATCTATTAATAAAATGTTTCAGTTATCAAAAAGGGAAAAGAAAAACAAAATGCCCTGGGTCATGTAACTCACACTTAATACATCCTTCAACACTTAAGCTGAGCGTAGATATTAATTATACTCAGCTTGCCTAGACTATGATTAAGTGTACATTTTTAACATCATTGGTCAATATACATTCAAAAGCTGTAATTCATATTTAACAAAAGAGAGACATCATAGAATTAGAGAGGGACGGTCAAAATGGAGGTGTATCCGGAGTCCTATGTGATAAACAAATACCACTTAGATCAAAAGGAAAATTTTATAAAGCAGTTGCAAGGCCAGCTATGTTGCATGGTGCAGAATGTTGACCAGTCCAGAAACAACATATCCAAAAAATGAATGTGGCAGAAGTGCGTACGCTGAGATGGATGAGTGGAAAACTAGAAAGGATAGGGTCAGAAATGAAGTCATTCGAAAGAACCTAGGAGAAGCTCCAATAGGTGATAAAATGACAGAAAGTAGACTGAGATGGTTTGATCATGTGCACAGAAGACCACCAACAGCACCTGTCAGAAGAAGTGATCTATTGCAAGTTGAAGGGGCTAGAAGGGCTATGGGTAGACTAAAAAGGACATGGTCAAAGTAGTTAGAAATGATTTAAATGCCCATAATTTAACAATGGATATGGCATAATGTAATGGTGAAACGAGATTCATGTAGCTGATCCCATGTGGTTGGGATAAGGCTTGGACAATGATGATGATGAAGTTGTGGATTTGATCAATAGGAGCATTAATGGGCCACACTCCTATTTTCTCTATATCCTTCAACTCCATGCTTGGATCAACCAACTTCAATATCAAAGAAGTATTGCAGTTTTCCTAAGTCCATGATCTCAAAATTAGTATCCAAAAATTGCTTAAGATACAGAAATTCAAAAGAATTGTTTCTTGTGACCACTTTGTAATCAACAAAGGACATTCTTTGTTGGCCTTTCTTGATGAACAGAGTGTGATTAGACTATGATTGGTGAGAACCTATGTGCTGTACAATGCCCTTAAAGTGATTAAAGTGAGCCCTTGTGATGCAGGCATGAGAAAAAGGAAAGAATCCATGGAGAAAACGAGAAAGAAATTACTTATCTCCAAATTCCTTAACCAATGACAATTTTGTAATTTTTGGTGTTCTGCATTTAGCATTTTTGAGTCTTTCTAAATTTATTTTTTAGTTTGTTGGTATCTTGGGAATAGTATTAAGCTTAATTCTTCTGGACAATTACTTTTCCGAATATAAATCAAAATTGTCATTTGTGGTAACTTTTGTAATTACTATTTATAGTAAAATTGCAATTCACTATTTTTAATAATTTCTGATGTCTTTATAATATGCTAGTTTAGTAGGATCAGAAATTCTTATTAAAGTTATTTTTGGAGTTTGAGTTTTTATTTGAGTGTCCTTACAGGTTACCTATTCAGTTGTCTTAGTTTTATGGTTAGAATTTTTTTTTGGGTTAGTTTCCTAGTTGAAATTGGGGTATGTAAAGGGTGATATGAGCTCTCACGTTTAGCCTATAAATAAAGTCCTTGTAATCGGTTTCCTAGTTGCGCTAGTTTCCCAGTTGCTTGCTTCTACTTTACTCTGAAGATTGATTTGCATCAATTTGTTTTCCTTCCCTTTTGGTATGTCAATAGTCTCCCATGTCTGATTCTTCAATGACACATCCATTTGTACATTCACTCCTTTCACTTAGGTTTGGAAATAGTGTCTGCTACATTCTTTGATATAGACATAGATGAAATAAAAGCATAAAAGGATTGATATGAGGGAGACAAGTAACTATAAGTAAGATATTGGGAGATTGAATGATCTGTAGATTGATAACACCCTTGCACAATGTAATAGGAAGGCCGATGTCACAATAAGTATGAGAAGTAGACAAATTAATATAACTATAAGCAGGATGAGAGTGTACCTGGATCGACTCATAATGACATTCACAAGAGGCTGAGGCTGATTTGAAATGGGAACAATCTCATTTCTTTGTTGATAGACCTGCATCTCTCTTTGATGATTATCAATAACTTGAGGGGTCACAATACTCATAGGAACACCTAAAGAAAAAGGTAGTGGAAAAGGAACAAGGATAGGAAGTTGGAAGATGCAATGGAAAAAGCACTTTCCTTTCCACTGCCACTCTCTTCTTCAAGAGAGACACTAGGATATAAATCAGTTGACTAAAAAAATGTGACACGGGTAGACAGACTTTTTACCAAATCATGATTCAAACAGAAATATCCCTTTACATAGATGTGTACCGAAGAAAAATACATTGAATAGCTTTTGGATCAAACTTGGATTGGTGAGTACCAAGAATGTGAGCGAAATAAGGGCACTTGAAAACCCACAAAAGAACATGAAACAATGTCCTGGTAGGGTATGGAAGATTGAAAGGTGGTCTTATTAATAAGATAAGTAGCAATTTGACAACATCTCTTCAAAATCTAATAGGAACATGGCCGCCAAACATGGCACTTTTTGCAACTTAAAGAATATTTTCAACCAGAACATTTTGCTAGGGATTATAAGCATAGAAACTCTGATGAATGATTCAATTTTCATGATAGATAAGATGAAAGATTTTTTATTAGAATATTCATTATCATTGTTAGACTGAAAAAAACTTTAATTTGTATAGTTAGCTGATTTAATACCAGCTGATATAAATGAAGAACCAATTAAGAACTTCATCCCAAGAATGTACTACAACCAAATAAAATGAGAAAAATCATTAACAAAGAGTGAACCGTATTGATAACCACTCATAGCAGGGATATGATAAAGCCTTTAAATGCCTATATATACAATATTAAAAGGAATATCAATTCTTTTATTACTAGGTAATGTAGGCCTGGAAGGATGGAAAGAACACAATGGAGAAATAAATGATTTTTCTCCCAATTTTTCATCCAATGACAATTTTGTAATTTCCTGATATGATTTTTTTTTGTTTTTTGTTTTTCAAATTTACTTCTAGTTTATTAGGATCTTAGGAATATGGTCATTCATTTTGAAGGGTCAATTTATTTTGTTGACATGTTTTGTTTTTTGTTTTTCAAATTTACTTCTAGTTTATTAGGATCTTAGGAATATGGTCAGTCATTTTGAAGGGTCAATTTATTTTGTTGTCATGTGAGATAAGTTCTAAAATTTTGAAAAGTTGAAGATATGATTACAACATATTTTTTTCAACCTATTTTTCAGGGGGTCAAAATGGATCTGAGACCAAGATCTTGTAAACCTGTTGTGCTTTGAGATATGATAATCTTAGTGCTTGGTTGTTAGTGATGGGATTTGAATCTTTCTATTTCTTTGGTCACTCTTAGAATGATCTTGGTTTGTTTAATTGTAGTAGGATTAATTAAGTCTTACCAAAGTTATTTTAGGTGTTGGACTTCTTATTTGGGTGTCTTTATGGGTTACCTGTATGATTTTCTTAAATTTTGTTGTTAGAAATTGTATTGACTTTTGGATCAATTTTGAGTCTAAATTGGAGTCTGTAAAGGGAGATCCAAATCCTTATGTTTAGTCTATAAATATTTATTATACTGAAATCCTAGAGTTGAGTTAATGGAACAGAAAATTTATATTCTAGTTACCTGTGGATATATGTGCTATCTTCTTTCTCTATCTATTTCTAAGTCATGGCTTTTATTTATGTAGCTCTTAGAGAGCAAGATCCAAGAGGCAAAATCAAAAAAAGATACTCTCAAAGCACGTGCTCAGTCAGCAAAGTATGTCCTAAACACTATTCATCAATTATGTTTCATTTTCCTTTTATTTGTGCATGTAACTCTAAAATCAATCCTAATTGGCCACTTTATGTTGCTTTAGGACTGCAACCAAAGTAAGTGAGATGCTGGGGAATGTCAATACAAGTAGTGCTCTTTCAGCTTTTGAAAAGATGGAGGAAAAGGGTATGACTAACATTTTTCTTTCTAGAAATGCACTTTCTTTTGTCAAATAACAACGATAAAGCCTCATGGACATTCTTTTTCTACAAAGAACTTGGTGATTCAACCAACCATCGAATCCAAATGAAAGTAACAAATGGTTTGCCACATTACATATGTTGCAAGGGTATGATGATTATGACCATCATTGTAACAGCGTATCAGATTAATGTAACTCATCATTGTAATTTGACTTTTAAATATTTATTTTCCCCTGTTATTCTGTCTTGGTTGAGTACTGCAAAAAAGAACAGTATAGATCAGTAAGATCACAATGATCAGATTGTCTTAAAATTTCAATTCAGGAAGTTGGGATGTCAATTGGGTAACGTGCACTGCCCCGCTGTTAGCTTGAGTTTGTCTATCCCTAATTAGATTAGGGGTTGTATAACATCTAGTGTCTATAGATGATGGGTTGAATTTGAATTTGTTTTATGACATATATAGACCAACTCTCTCTAGTAAGCTCCTGAAACTTAAGTATTTAGCCAGCCTCAGCCCTTGTCATTTCTTTATTTCTTTATTTATTTTTTGCATAAACTTCAAAAGCCCCCCTGAACTATTGGGGGTGTGTCACTATACTACCTGAACTATGAAAAGTTTCAAATAGGCCTCATGTTAAGCAGCATTAATGGTGAGAGGAAAATGACCGTATTACCCCCCATGGTGTGGCATGTGTGGCAGGGTTTTCTTCTTCTTTATTTCTATATTTTCCCTGAAATAAGTCTTTGTTCTTGATTTTCAGGTCTGTAGGGGCATACAAGCCATACTAAATCTGTAAAAGTCATATATGATAAGCGAAAAACCTCATACTGATACCTCTGTTCAATGAAAAACCTTTTTTCTGAAGAAGATAAGGGAAAAGATGTTTAAAAGGATAATTTGGGTATTTTGAAAACTGAAAAGGCCATATTATGTGCACATGGCCATTTTCCATCAATTTCCTTGACGGGAGGCTAACATATGAGGCTATTTGATACAATGTGAAAGTTGGGGGGGTGTATTTGTAACTTTTCATAGTTCAGGAAGTAAAGTGAATACTGACAAATGGAATTTAACACCTGAAACTCAGTTTCTCACTTTGCAACTCTTTCAAAGCAATTTCTAGCATATGATCACTCAGATATATTAGGGATTCCTAGTTCAATTAGGACATTGAGGACAAGTCCTAGAAACTTTCTTGCCGGTTTTAGTGCTACAATGACTCTTCCCATATTCACTTAAAACTCCTTTAGAACTAAAATAGTAGAGTCTTAGTGCAACTAGGATTTCTCCCTAGGAGTCTTCTCATACTCATCCCAGTGTTATCCTGGGAATTATATAGGAGTCCTAGCCTCACTGGGAATACTCTACTAGAGTTCCAGTACATCTAGTATTCCCATTCGGAGTCCTGATTCAACTCAACTTCTTGGCAATGGCACCCTCTTGTATTTGAGTGGGTAGTCTATACAACTCTTTTGTTATTATTACTATTATTCTTTTTAATCAATAATAGAAACTTCATTCGTTCAATACAAAGCTCTTTGCTACTCAAATTACTAAGTAGTGAGAAGTAAATACAACACAATCTTCGGATTCCCCTCGCCGAAAGCAGGAATCTTAAACATTTTCGCTCAAATGACAAGGAACTATTGCAGACCTCTTGACGGTGTTTCTGCTTGCTCTCATCAATCACTGTCTCAGTTTGGGATCAGGAGAAACTCTTGCAGTTTCTCCAATTCTCACCTCCAACTTTCAAAATCCAAGTTAACCATGCCTACTTCATAGTCTCACAGTGTTCATATATAAAATATTGGTAGTGAAAAGCTCCAAAATGGATGAAGGGGCAGTCCAGCTACTTCCCAAGAGAAGAGAAAAGTGGCTCCATATCTGAGCAGCACATTGGCAAGTCATAAGAAGATGAGTAGTGTCTTCATCACTCTTGAGACAGAGAATGCAAGCATTAGGTGAGATACACCAGGATTTTCTTTTCTTCTGGAACCTTTCACATGCACTGATAATCATATTAGCTGCCTCCCAACAAAATATCATTACTTTTGGAGGTACAAGCCCAGCCCATATGTCTTTAGCTAGAAATAAGTGTATGAGGTTGGACTAGTATAGTGTTTCAAAAAAAGCAGCACATGAAAAAGGAGCCACTTGCACTTGGATTACAAACTCTCTCATCCACCCTAGAAGGAATAAGAGAGATATCTTTTAGAATTAGTGGAGCAAGGCACCTTGGAATGCATAGATCACAAAAAAATCCCCAAAAAACAGAACCAATCTATTTATCAAAAAAAAAAAAAAGGAACTAATCTGACCATTGAGTGGGTCACTTCAGTGATCTCTTCATTCAAAACGGTGTTGTTTTGTTGGATGAGAAGTTAAAAAATTAATAAAAACCACCCGGTTTTATGAAACCGAGACCAGTTCACTGGTTCCTTGGTTGGAATGGCCGGTTGGATAGTTTTTCTTACCACCAGTTTTTAGAGCCTGACTGAACTGGCTGGTGAACCAGTTCAAAGTTTTACTGGTCTGATCGGCTGGTCCGGTTCATTTCTCTGAACATTGGAACAGATCTTTGGCTATCACCGAATGAAACATTTAAAGCCTAAGCCCCTTCAAACCCAACATCAACTGTTGTGGACCAAGAGCCCTAGGTGGGAGCTCACTCCAAAAGCTCCAAACAGTTGATTTGGGGGGACTGAAGCTCCAGTTCGTCCATGGAGCTCTTCCCCAATAAGAAAACACCCTCCACAACCACATCTAGGAAAAAAAAAGGAAAACTTCCCAACAACCACTCCCAAGTTTGAAACCAGAACCCTATTAGATGCTCCAACCACACGCAAAGTTGCTTCTCCTAGTTCTGAGATACAAAACCCCATTACTGAGTCTGCAACCTGAACCAAAACACCATCTTCAGCATGAGTCAGCTAATTAATCTCAATTCCCAACCTGGTATGAATTTGGTACAAACCTAGCTGGATGTTTATCAGGTCAGGTCAGGGTTAACTGTTAGCCATCTGAAATTCAACGAATATCAAACTGGGTTGGTTAGAGTTACACGCATTGTCCAAAAAGGTTCATTGCCTATTTTGTGGAATTAAGTTGAGGTTGTTGTCTTGTCTCTAAATATTGTTGAAAACATACGGCATTTCTTAATTGACTATATGTAGCAGTCCTGTTAATGAATGATAAAAATTTTCATGCCATTGTGTACAGTGTTGGCCATGGAATCTCAAGCGGAGGCACTCAGTCAGCTGACTACTGATGACCTTGAAGGAAAGGTAATCCTTTACCCATTTATATTTTACTTTTAATCAGCAGGTACAGTTGATGCCTTCTATGATACAAAATTCTGTAAATATTAAAACGAGCAATATTCCGATTGTTCAGACATATATCTGTTGCACACTCACATATAGAGTTTATAAATACTTTTTCATATCCTTCCTAGGAATCTAGGGCCAAAAAGAACATGATTAGATGATTCTATCTATTCTAATCTTGGTTTGTACTTTATACTTCACAGTTTGCATTGTTAGAGAGCTCGTCAGCAGATGATGATCTTGCAAACTTGAAGAAAGAACTAGCAGGAAAGTCATTGGTATGCTCTCATATCTTCTTTCTTGACTAATTAAAATGGCATGCTAATGACTGGGAATGACATGTGGCTGAGACTGTTTAACAGTTCATTTGGATGTGGTCTGGCTGTATACCATTGTGCATATTCAATGTATGATGGTGTCTACTTCGCTATATACTTTCTGTTATTGCATTACTGAGCTCTCTCTCTCTCTCTCTTATATGTATGCCTGTGGTCTGAATTTTTATGTGCCTAGATTAGGTATAATAAGCAAAAAATATTTTTGAACAGTGACACATTCTCATGGTCTTCACCTTTGTTATTTGGATGATTGTTTCTGTTACAATCACAGATTTTTGATTCAATGTAGACATTTTCTTTATTACTACTATTTATTATCTATCATATCCTTTCAATTTTCTTTTTTGCACTAGAAAGGAGAGCTTCCACCTGGTAGAGCAACTGTAAGCAGCACAAATGCAGGATTTCCTTTCCAAGACTTGGAGATCGAGAAGGAGCTCAATGAACTAAGAAGAAAGGCCAAGGAATTCTAGAGTTTATCTTGTTTGCCATATGAGTAAATTAAAAGAGCCCTTGCCTTCATTTGGCCATTGGTTCCTTTTTTCATCAGAAAGTTCCGATGCATGGAAAAGTGCCAACTTCATTTCAGAAATTGAAATGGGCTAAACATGTGATGGAGGAGATGCATGGATTAGACTATGCACAATGTTTAACACCATGTCTATGGTGTTTATTTATTCGCAAAATCTCTTGTTTTTGTTTGATCCCCATAATGGCCGATCATTGTAAATGTATATTTAGATAATGGAAATGCATTTTAAGATGATGGATTGTATCACTGAAATGGCGCAATTTTATGTATCAAGTGGTTATCATTTGTTAGTGTTTAATGATGTATGTGTGGTTTCATAGTGGTGGATTTCTTCAAGAGATTATTTTTCTGATTTAGAATTAGATATTGATCATTGATAAGAAGTTGATGAATATGAATTTCCAGTTATCAGACAAGTCATTTAGAATTTAAACGCCTTCAGGCTTATATCCTGCCTCTTTAAGACCAATGGCCTCACTTCCACCTTCTGTCTGTTAGAACCTTACTCACAAATTGTTCTAAGAGAAACATGTTATCGCATACTTACAATCCAATCAGGTTTTGGGTCCTCTAATTAGGCTGCATTTGGCATTCCTTATTTCAAGTACTTACCTCCTTGTTAAAATGCCCCTATGAACACTGAGTTTTTTACTGCAGAAATGAGATAAGTCCTTAAAATAAGGAATGCCGAATGTAGCCTTGACACCCAAAAACTGTTTTGTAATTAAACGTAATGAGAACGTTATATTAAGAATCTCGAAACAAACCATGCATTGCTGACCTCGTTTCAATGAAAATTGACGGGTCTAACAGCCTGGATGGAATATCAAATATAACCACTCTTCATCTCAGTTGTCCGTGTATGTTACGTCAAGGTGAATCATGAATGTGAAAACTCAGCTTTCTATTGTATTAATTGTATTTTAGGGTAAAATATAGAGAGCTACCTTGTATTTGGGGTAGTTAAAAATATTGAGTTACTCTACTTTGGGATTAGTTAGCTCCATGAACTTTTATTTGCCACAGAGAGTTATGATGTAATTTCAAGTTTCAGCACTCTACTCCCATCTTCAGCATTTTGTCAGGCAAATAGAGAAGAGCTTTGCAAATGATAGTTGTGATTGTCTTTTAAATAAATGGGTTCGACTATGATATGGGAAAGATATCTGAAAAACAATTGACCAATAAATTTCATGGGTGAGCTTTGATTGATCAAAACTCTTTCCATATCATATCTTTACCGTATCATAGATTTTCCCTAAATATTTCTAAAATCATAAACTACCCCTTCTTAATTAGTAGCATGTTGAAGAAACTATTTATATATACTCTAAGATTTGAGTAAACTACTTGTATATATTCCATTGTTTCAAAAGCTACCTATATATACATTGGTGACCTTGATAACACTGAAAATGCCTCTTATCTCTGAAAAAAATTCAGAGGTAGGAGGCATTTGGGGTCGTGTTTGAACACCAGATCTGAATTTTGAATTCAGATCTGATTTGGTTTGACGTTGCCCAGTCACTGAATGCAGTCACACATTTCAAGCGTTGACAAATGTCTAGAATTAATGCCCTTGTCCTATTTTTTAATTGACAAAAAATGTCCTCTTTTAATCCCAAAACCAAGCCTAGTCTATTCTCTTCTCGACTTGAACCTTCGAGGCTGCCTTCTCTGATGACGAGGATGTTTAGCAGTGATGATTTCCAGATAAGCTTTAGTGGGTTTTTTTTTTTGTGGTTTTTAATTTTCCATTTTCTAACAGATAAAATTTGAAGGACAAAAGTGTCCTTAGCTATTTTTATTTTTAACCCCAAACTTTATCCAGTGGAGGGGCAGTCACCTTAAAATTTTATTAATCAACCAAATCAAAAGGAAAGAGAAATAATACAGGGGAGGACGTAGCCCATCTTGCCCCAGAACCCAAAAACAAAAGCACACCTCCTTACCCACTCAGCTCTGTCCAGAAGCTTAAACAAAAGAAAACAATAGAAAATTACAACAACAAAAGCAAAAGCCGTTAGTCAATTCACAGCATGGATCTTCATATGATCTTCCTTGAAGAGATTCTTGAGGTCCAATGGAAAATCCTGAGTTGAACTAAACACTTAAAATCTCCTCTCGGATATACCCATATTAGCCAAGAAATCAGTAGTACATCTATTCCCCTTGCAAAGGGTGTGAGTAAACATTTTAATTCTCATGGAATTACACATCCTCTTGATATCTCTTAAACATAGGTAATATTCCATAGAGAGGAAGGCAGCATTAGTATAGGTCTCTTATAATTCCACCACCCGAGCAGGAACAAAATAGGGAACAAGTCTTTTCGTAGAACTTCCTTGGCAATAATGAAAATGCTAGGAGAGAGAGGATCTCCCTACCTGAACCCGATAGAAGAGCCAAAAGTAAAGGAGAACCTTTAATTATCACCGAAAACCAATAATTACACATGCATTACCGGATTAGCTCTATCCAAATGCTGTTGAAACCAAATCTTTGAAAAACTTTCAAAGCATGCTCTACTGCCCCTCTCTCTCTCTCTCTTCTTCTTCTTCTTCACAGCTACAAACACCACCGAACGATACCAATAATGGAGGCCTTCTTTCCCATTTCTCCATCCTTCTCTTTCTCTCTCTTTTCCTCCTCTCTAAGCCTTAGAGGTGGACATCAACTGTGCTTTTCATGAGCTATTTCAGTTGGCTTATTAAGCTTGTGATCGAGCCTAGTCGAGCTTATACTATATTTTATATTTTTATTTTTTATATTATAATATTTTTACATGTTTATATTTTTTTAAATTTTTTGTGAAGCTTAGGTTATTGCTGTGCTCGAGCCAAGCCAAACTCGAACATATGAGCTTTTGAGTTGAGCTAAATTTGAGCTCATGTTTATAGCTCAAATTGAGCTCGAGCTTGAACTCAAGTCTCATACTTTTTGCCAAGCTGAGCTCAAATAACTAGATATTTGGCTTGGTTTGATTCAGCTTGGACCCACCACTATCCTCCTCCTCCTTTCTCTTTTCTTCCTCTCTTTTTCCTTGTTATGCTACTGAGGTCACAAAACAAAGAGAACAGGTGTACCCCTTGCATTTTTATAAAACCATTTGCTGACACAAATGTTAGCTTAGCTTAGCTGTGTCCCTTGTAAAAACCAATCAAAATTTATTACTCCCATTTTAACTTAGAGTCCTTGTGTGTGTGTGCGTGAGAGAGAGAGAGAGAGAGAGAGAGAGAGGTTAGGCTGTCCTCTCAGGTTTGTTTTGTCAAAGATGAAGATGATGAAGGGAAAAAGGAGATAAATGAGAGCAGGGATAAAATAGGATTATAGCAATGTTAAAAGTATTGAAAATGTTGTGTATCAGAAAAACAAATTTAAAAGACGTATTAAGATACAATTTAGATACACATGGATATAAACGAAAAATTAATAAACACATGGAAATACATTGACACATTATAGATACACCAATAAATCAAAAAGGTACATCAATAACATCAAATATAAGGTTTAAATGAGCTATATAGTGACTTATGGAAAAGCATATCATAATTTACATATGGGAACATAATGGTATTCTCTAATAAGATTATAACTAAAATATATATAAACTTAACAATTATTTAGTCAAACATTTTTTTTGTAATTTCTTAAACAATTATTTATTTCTTATTCAAACAATTATTTTACTCCAAAAATTGTAACAAAAAAATTCAAGAACTCTATGGATATGATAGATCATCCTTAGATTTACAACATAGTAAATATTTATGGCTAGATCAGACCAGAAGTAAAAAATAAATAAATATTTTTTTTCTAAAAATAACAAAAAATAAAAAATTAATATTTCACAAGAAATTTCAGTAGATATATGAATATGTTAGATCATCCACAGATCTAAAACATAGTAAATATTTATGGTTAATCACACAAAAATTTAGAAAAATATATATTTTTATTATAGAAATTACAAAATATTAAAAATAAATATTTAACAAGAAATTTCAATAGATATATGGATATAATAGATCATCCATAGATCTACAACATTATAAATGTTTATGGTTAGATCATACAAAAGATGAAAAAATAAATATTTTATATTTCCAAAATTACAAAAAAATAAAAATAAATATTTTGCAAGAAATTTCAATTAATAGACCTGTGGATATGGTAGATCATATCATCCATAGATCTATAACATAATCATTTTTCATGGGTAGATTACACCAAAAATATATTTTTTTGTTATTTTATAATTTTTTCTCAATTTTCTTCAAAAAATTACATAGATCTATTTAAAGCACAAAAAATATAGGATTTTCAACACAAGGAGAGTAGATCAATGTATATAGAAGCATTTCTAAGCATTAGAACAAAAAATTGCAACATATTGTCAAATAAACTAAAACAATACCAATTTTTTTTGTAATTTTTGAAAAAACTTCAAAAGTCTTGAGTTTTGGAAATTGTTTTGGGGGTTTTCTTTGAAGATCTTGCTACTTGAGAATGTGTAGGGACAACTTGATGAGTTTGGAAAGACTTCTTTCTCGAAGGTTTTTAATTTGTTTTTTGCATATATGTAAGTCATACTATATTGGCTGATACACCTCGATATGACTATGATACAATTCCGATAAACCCCAAAATAGGCTGATACACCCCGATACAGCAACAATTTGAGCATGATATGGGGTTGGCATGACGAAAAAACACAATATAAAGGATTTTATGGTATATATTTCCCATGTCGACCTCTTAAAGATATGATACATATCGATTGACATGGGTCAATATGTTGCAAAATTTTGAACCTTGGGTTATAGAGAATTAAAATTTAATGAGCATATGAAATAGCTATAAAAATTTTCTTAACAAATGGTCCACGTGTTATGTGAGGCCATTTTACATGGTACACCATGTAAGTGGCTTTTGAAACTATAAGGTGTATATAAGTAGTTTTTTAATTAACCCATAAAAATATTTCTGCCATAGTGATATATATATATATATATATATATATTAATGATCTATTTTTTTATTTTTAATAATTAAGCAATAATAAAAGAAAATAACTAAATGTTTGTTCTATTTTGGATTGTGTCCAGTTCAAACAATGACTGTTGGTGTCGGTCGGTTGAGAGAATGTTGCAGTTGACAAGGCTTGTTTTTTTTTTTTTTCTTTTATTTAATATAATACACTAAACGCATGAAGGGGTAAAGATGTAAATTAAGCAGCTGTGGTATCCAGTATCCTGGTGCCTTCATTTGATTTTCCACTCTATTCAAATTCAA